AGATTTTTCATCTGCTGGTTTACTCTTCAAATAGCTGCAGTGACTGGGGCTGGGCCAGGTCAAAGCCAGGAGCCAAAAGCTTTATTCAGATCTCCCACGTGGGTGCAGGGGCCCAAACACTTGGGCCAATCTTGCTGCTTTCCCAGGTGCATCAGCAGGGAACTGGATCAGAAGTGGAGCAGACAGGATTTGAACTGGTGCCCATATGGGATATCTACACTGCAGGCATAACCCACTGCACCACAGTGCTGACCCTTCAAATAGGTGAACTAAAAAAGTAATACAGGGTCGGGGGGCTGAACAGCATAGTGGTACAACAGATTAAGTCACCACCTGTTAACGCCAGTACCTCACTTGGGTGCTGGTTCAAGTCCTGGCTGCTCCATTTCCAGTCCAACTCTCTGCTGATGCACCTGGGAAAGCGGCAGAGGATGGGCCAAGTGCTTGGACCTCTGCACCCACATGGAGACTGGAAGAAGCGCCTGGCTCCTGGCTTTGGCCTGGTCCAGCCCTGGCTGTGATGACCATGGAGAGGGAACCAGTGGATGCAAGATTTCTTTCTCTCTCTCTTTCTCTGCCTTTCTCTGAAACTGCCTTTCAAATAAATAAATCTTTAAACAAATTTTTAAAACATTGAAGCTTCAGCTTCATGAATTGAATGAAATCTTTTAACCCTCCTGCCTGGCTTTACTGCGGAGTGAAGGGATTGGGTAGAGGCCCCCAGGCAGCCAGCAGGTGTCCTTGCCACCCACCCCTCCCCCCCAGTCCCCATCCACTGCACTTCAGCCACCCACTGTTCCCTCCCACCTGTCCTACATTCACACAAACAACTAATCTGCTAGTTTCCTTGCCCAAACCACAAAACACAAGGTCTTAAGAACTTTCAAAAAGAATCCGTTTCTGTCTACTCGAAAGGAGAAACCTGGAGACCAGAAGCAGCCTGCCAGTGGGAACGACCAGGCCTCCCAGCCTCAGATCACTGGCAAGACAAGCTAAAAGAATCTTGCAGGATGATACCAGGAGCAGACTGCAGGCAGCATGCCAGAGAGACCAGCCCAGGGGTGGCAGGCGCCTTGAGGGGGCTCCCGTCGGGGCCCAGGACTCAGCTCCAGGGTCTCTGGGGACACAGCAAGAGCCTGCAGGCCCGAGGCTAATCTGGACCACCAATGAGTTATCATCCTGGATGAGGGCATGCCGCTGCCCAGGGCTAAGATACCACCTGTGAGGACCTTGATAGAAGGCTGCCTCTCTGGGTTTGGCTCGGCTGCTTTTTAGCTCAGGCAGGCAGGCAGATTGTTTTTGAGCTCACCGTTTCTTTTCTTTCTTCTCCTTCACCTTTTTAATATTCTTGGAAAGTCAGCTTTACAGAGAGAAAAATATTCTGTCCACTAGTTCACTGCCCAAATGGCCACAATGATTGGAGCTGAGCTGATCCAAAGCAGGGAGCCAGGAGCTTCTTCCAGGTCTCCCATGTGGGTACAGGTCCCAAGGCCTTGAGCTGTCTTCTGCTTTCCCGGGCCACAAGCAGGGAGCTGGAAGGGAAGTAGAGCAGCCAGGACATGACCTAGTGACCATATGGAATCCCGGGATGCCAGTTCATATCCCGGCAGCTCCACTTCCCATCCAACTCCCTGCCTGTGGCCTGAGAAAGCAGTTGAGGACGGCCCTAACTCTTGGGACCCTGCACTCATGTGGGAGACCCGAGAGAATCTCCAGTCTCCTGGTTTTGGATCAGCTCAGCTCCAGCTGTGGTGTCCACTTGGGGAGTGAATCACTGGACATAAGTTCTTCCTTTCTGTCTCTCCTCTTCTCTGTATATCTGCCTTTCAAATAAAAATAAATAAATCTTAAGAAAAAAAAAACCCTTCATGGAACCCAAACTCAACTTCAGCTCCTGCTTCCACTCCCCAGCTTCTTCAAAACTAAGTAACAACAAAACCCCAAACTTTCAACTCAAGCTGGCAGTGTCACAGGTAGCTCTTTGAAAGGGGTTTTTGTTGCAGTTAACCCTCCCAGAGCTCTTTTGCTCCAGGTCAGACAGGTGCACTTCTGGCCTGAAGACTCCAAGTTGCTGAGTGAATAAGCCAAGATTCAGTGCCCTGACACAGGATTCCCAGTCTACCACACAGTTGCCCAGCTCCCAGGTAGGCCCAGGTAGGCCCAGTTCCCTTCTCTAAGATCTACCTTCCTCTCTAGAACTCATCTGCCAGGCCTCCACTCACTGACAGAAAGGAAGCGACACCCTTTCCTGTCTTAGGCCCGCCTTCCTCCCCACCCCACCCTCCTGCCCGCCCGAGCACCCTTCCTGCCCCCAGGTTCAAAAGCAGCCAAGCTCAAAGAGGTGCACAGAAGCTCCCAGTTCCTCTCTGAACGCAGCTCCTGAAGGAACCTCCAAGTCCCCCTCAAGATGTGCCGCTTCCTCCCTGTCCTGCTCACCGTCAGCTTCCTGGTGATGGCTCAGGTAGGAGGATCCTCAGAAACCCCGGCGCCACAGCCAGGATAGTCCGGGACAGCAGGAGAGGGCAGAGAGGCAGGTTCCCGGGGTATCCCTCTCCCCCGACCCCAGGACCCCGTCCTCAACCCCACCCCAACACCAAGCCTTCTCCAGGGGAGTACAGGCAGCTGGCACCTGCAAGGGTCCCTGGATGCAGGAGGCTTGACTGCCCAGCCTTCCAGGCCTCCCGCCTGGGGCTAAGTTGTTCCAGGGCCGCCCCTGGCCAGGAGCCTGTGTCCACAGTGGAGGACACAGGGTGCCAGGCACACTGAGGCACCCAAGAGGTGCTGGGGAACCAAGAAGCTTGGGAAGACATGGGCCTGTAAAGATGGCGCCAACCCCACAGGGAGCTGGGGAGATTGTCCTGGGCGGTGGGGGGGGGTGGGGGGGGGAGAACCCAGGAAATGTCCAAGTGGCATTTGCTCTGCTTCTGGAGGTGGCAGTGCTCCACCCCGCCCGGCCTCCTGCAGAAGTGCCTCCGTGTCCTCGGAGGCAAAGGAGCCGCAGGGGTCTCACAGTCAACGACCTGGAGAAGGGGAGGCAGCCACCGGGCTTCCCCAGTACCCAACATGAGCAGGACCCCATGGCAGCAGGGACAGCCGGGTCCCCTTCCACCCACTCACACCCCACCAGGTGTCTGCCCACCCAGCCTGTCATTTTTGAGCCCCACAACGGTGATGGACTCTTCCCCATTTCAGAAGATGTGGCGACCATGCCATTTAAGGTCAAGATCAAGGGCCAGGGTTCCTCCAGCTCACTCTGTGGTCCATTGTGTGAAGCACAAGATGGGGACAGGGGACTGTGGAGGGAACCACAGAGGCTTGCATCAGGCTGGGAGGAGGCCCAGGTGTCTAACAGGTGGGGGGTTGAAATACCCCTCCCCTGAGCTGCCCCTGCTTCTCTTGCAGATGCAAACTGGAGTCTTCGGAGACCAGTCCTCCCCCCAGGACTCGAAACAGGGCTCCTCAGCCTCCCAGAACAACCATGCCTCTCAGGAGACGAGCCAGACCTCCCAGGGCTCGGGCCAGGCCTCCCAACCCAGCAGCGCCAGCATAGTGCGCGGCACTTTCCTTTCTCTCCTGATCATCGCTCTCTTCCACCTGGTCCACCGCTTCTGAGCCCCCTGCCTCCATCCCAGCTGACCGAGACAGCAGCTGCAAACACTCTACAGAGAATCCACCCCCTCCCTCCCCCCCTCATCCTGCAGAGAAGCCTGTGTGTGAGAACCCCCCACGCAGGGTGTGGACCTGAGCACCATGCACGGGAGATCAATAAAGCGCTTGTTGTGTATCTGCGTGTGGTCCCTTCATTGCCTCGGGCTGGACCCCAGAGCCAGAGTGGAAGCAGTACCCCAGGGCCTTCCCATGCCCCCATCAGCAGCAAAGGTGGCACCAAGATGCCCCAACCCTCACAGAATCCCATCAGAGGGCTCCTCCCCTGAGAATCACCTTGCAAAGTCCAGGGTCTCGAACCTGCCACCCTCACGGCCCCTGTAGGTCGCTTTTGCTCAGCTTGTCCTTGGGTGTGTGGATATGGCGCCCCAGAGCCGCCTCCCTGCCCCTTCAAACTCAGCACCCCCACAACCAGACAGCCCCACATCCTAGGTATCCTCAGAATGAAAGACTCAGGGAAGTCCCCCAGCCCAAGCATGCCCACATTCCCGTTTCTGGGGGTCCCCCTGCCTGCCCTAACCCTCCAGCCCCCAGGAGGGTCAAGAAGAGGCGGTTTGTTGCTTCCTACCTCCCTTTCAACACGTAGGGAAGGCCGGAAGCACCAGCAGCTGCCCTAACCCCTCTGCCCTGGGAGTGGGGGTGTCTGTGTGGGGGAGGGAAGAGAACCCACGGCTGCCCACATGGGCCTTATCCCTGGCCTGTCCTCGAGGACCCTAGCCAGAGGCCCAGGGATTGCTGCTTGATGTAGACCTGCCCACCCCCAACCAGGTTTAGGCCCAGACCCCTGATCTAGCTTCCTTCAAACGACAAACCTTTCAGCTTGAGGACTGGGTTGGGTAAGTGGGAAGGAGTCCCGTGGCCACGTTCTGCCCCTCTCCCCAGTCCATCTGCTGTACCCCCGTCACACTAGGGTGCCCTTCCAGAACTGTCTGATCCCTTGGCTCTCTTTCTTGGCCACCCTGGCCTGGCCCTCGGCATCACAGCTGTCCCCTGTCATCGATTCGATTACTCTCGTGCTGGGTCCGGTGACGTGGTCTAGCGGCTAAAGATTATCCTCGTGGTGGGAACCCTTGAGGGTGGGATCTAGCAGGCCTGGTTCCTTTTTGTGCCTCCACAGCCCAGCACAAACCAGGCTTGGAGCAGGTGATGAGAAAAACGCATCCTTCCCAAGTGGTACACTCCCCAGCAACCTGGTCCCATGGCTCCTCCTGGTGGCAGAGAGAGGTCTTACATCACACCTCAACCCAGAAGGAAAAGAAGCAGGTGCATGACGGTGATCATAGGACCAGCCTGGCCCTCAAACATCCAGATGCATGGAGACAAGGAGACTGGACAGCATATTACAAAATAGCTTATTTTCCAACAAAAATTCTATAAAAACATTTCATCCCAGCAAACCTTCCCACCCTCCTCCCCCCGTCCCCCATCTCAGGCTAGGGGAGAAGGGAGGCTCAAAGAACATGCAGCGTCCAGATCTGGGAGGCCCTTTCCTTGGTTGGTTCCCACAGCACCACATGGTCCCGGTCATAGCCCCGGCCACCTGTGGGGTGGGGGCAGATAAAGAGATGCTCAGAGAGATGGGGGCACCAAGGAGGGGACCATGCCCTCAGCCCCCTCCCCCACCTGCATTACCTTTCACATCCAGGACTCGTCCTTCAAACATCTGGCTGCAGATGTGGCCCCCATCACTGATGCTCCAGGTCTGCCGTGGCATGCGGCTCTCTGACCACAGCACCACTTTGGAGCCTGGGCTGGGAGTCCCGATCACCTGCAGGCTCATAGTAGGGGCCACCTGTGGCCCAGGAGGTCATTAGGTCTTGTCCCTCCCCACTGGGGCTCCACCCACCCCAGACACCTTAAGGCAGAGTCTCCTAGGGAAGTGACACTTCCAGTGCTGGATTTTAGGGGGTTAGGTGGGATTCAAGGTAAAAAGACATAAAGAGGAGGTCTCCTCCAGGAAGCCTCTCAGATTAACTTCCAAAGGCTTTAGCATTAGAAGAGCTGCCACAGCCTTACAGGCTGCAGGACCTTCAGCAAACTACTTAACCTCCTGTGCTCCAGTTTTCCCACCTGCAAAGAGGGGGAGGGTTGGGGGGTCACGAAAGGCATTGGCTTGGGAGCATAAGGCAGCACCTGGCACGCAGCCCCTCTCTCATCGCCCTTCTCTCTCCTCCATTGCACTTATCATCATCAGAGCTGCTAGGATCCTTCACTCACTCAAGTTGTCTCTCTCTGTCCCACTAAGCTGAGGACAGCAGAGGTCAGCTCTGTCTTCTGGCTGCTGCCCTCCCAGACCCTAGAAGACAGGCTGGTGGACAAGGATGCCCAGGTCCGCCAAGAGAATCTATCCTTGTCTACAGCCAAGTGCAGAGGTGCCTCTGACGCATCCGTGTAGATCCTGGCTGTGTAGGCTGTGTCTGGGAGCAGGGCAGGCTTGCCCTGGGGTACATCCCACACGCTCCCCAGCCCAAGGCCCTGGTGGCAGCGTACATGTCTCTGCCTCTGATTGGGTGGACCTCATCAAAGCAGGCTTGCACATACCTAGGGCCCAGGGCTCCTGGTCCCAGCCCCAACATCAGTACCTGGTTCGTTTTAGTACATGTGCTGCCGAAGCAAGCATAGTACCTGGTTCTTGAGCAGCCCATCCTCATAGTACCAAACGCAGCTGCCTCCAGCTCGGGAATCGGAAACTACCACACGGCCTGCCTTCATGTCCTCCACGTGGTCTGGCACTGCCAGGAATCCTCCCAGTGCCGCATTCCACAGGCGGAAGTAAGCCCGGCGCTGGGAGTGGGGAGACACTGAGAGTCAGGGATCCCCAGCAAGGCCCTACTCCCTCTACCCTCACCCAGGGTTCTCCAGCACCAGCTTCTGGTGCCCTCTTTCCTGACCCCAAACTACCCTTGGCTGCCTCGCAGGCGTCCCTTCTTTGCTTATGCGTTCTGAGGCCACACACACAGCATACCTCAGCACACATGTATAGCACACATTGACAGCCCACAATGCACACAAAACACACGCACAGCACACACGACACATACAGCAACTCATACACGGCACACAACAAAGCAACATGCATGTATACAACACAAAACAAATACAGACATATGCACAACACACAGCACATATGTACGGCACGCATAGTAGCACAGGAATACATGCACAGCAATGCACATGTATTCCACACACAGCACATATATGCACAGCCCACACATGTGTGCAGCACACATGCACACACACGGCTCTGTGTGCAAAAGCAGCCACAGGCCCTGGACAGGGTTGGCCAACAGACACAGCCAGGGCACTGAAGCCCATGCAAGGTGCCAACTCACACACACACACACACGAGTGACCATCTAAACTCACACGTCCTCGCCAACCCACAGGCACTGACATCTGCCACCAGGGGCAGATGTGCAGGAATGCGGACAGATAGACACAGAGAGAATCCCAGCCCCAGCCAGGCCCTCGGGCTGCTCTCAATAGCCCTGACTCAGCTGGGGGCTCAGATGGAGCTGTGGCAACGTGGCTAAGCTGAGTGTATGCCATCCAAGCATTGTTCCCAGGTATATCCTCGCTCTCCCTGCAGTCCCGGGCAACTGGCACCCCTCATTTTAAAGATGAGGAAACAGAGGTTCATGCAGGCGTGGTACTTGCCCAAATGCTGGTCCATTTCTCTGGGCCTGGTTTCCCCATCTGTAAAATGGGAGGGTTGGAGACAATCTCCACAATTTCTTTCAACAAAGAAACGTGATGTGAGATGTTGGGAATAGAGGTCTGTGCAGATACCCTCAAACACACAAGCCCTCGAGGGGTGTCCCAGACACAGGCTCAAACAGGTGCAAGTACAGAACACTCACACACACTCACACAGTCACACACATGACCTGGTAAGGAGAGCAAGCCCTCAGAAAGGCCTTTGTAAGCACGCACGCACACACACACACACACACACACACACACACACACACACACAAGAGCACTTCCAGTGCACACACAACATCACAAGGACAAGGAAGTCCTCAGAAGGTCATGCGCACATACACACACACACACAGCCCAAACACAGCTCCACCACACACAAGTCCAAGGCCAGCCATGTCCACACAGCAGGCTCAGACATGGAGGACGCATGTGCAAGCACAGGGTTTCACAAAGCCAAGAAGAGGGACGTGGTATAATTTCCTATCCTAACAGAAAACCCCTATTTTTGGAAGTCTAATGGCCATGTATCCATTCTGCTGTCAATTAAAAATCAAATATGCCTGGGATACTCATGATTTTGTGGATATGATTTCTAGGACAAGAACCAAGCAAACAAAAATGGATTGGGGGGGCGGGCCTGGTGTGATGGCCTAGTAGCTAAAGTCCTTGCCTTGCACACTCCCGGATCCCATATGGGCACAGATTCTAATCCAAGTGGTACCACTTCCCATCCAGCTCCCTGCTTGTAGCCTGGGAAAGCAGTTGAGGACGGCCCATAACCTTGGGGCCCTGCACCTGTGTGGGAAACCTAGAAGCTCCGGGCTCCTGGTTGCAGATCAGCGCAGCTCCAGCTTGGGGAGTGAATCAAGGGACAGAATATCTTCCTCTCTGTCTCTCCTCCTATCTGTATATCTGCCTTCCCAATAAAAATAAATAAATCTTAAAAACAAGTGGATTGATTTGGAGAAAAAGATTAAATAGATAACAGTTCAAGATAAGCAGCAAGGGGCTGACACCGTGGCACAGTGAGCTGAACCACAGCCTGCGACCCCTGCAACCTCTATGAGTGCCAGTTTAAGTCCCCGCTGCTTTGCTTCCCATCCAGCTCCCTGCCAATGTGCCTGGGAAGGCAGTGAAAGGCGGCCAGAGTGCTGGGGTACCTGCACCCCTGTAGGAGACCTGGATGAAGCTCCTGGCTCCTGGCTTCAGCTTGGCTCAGCCCTGGCTGTTGTAACCATCTGGGGAGTAAACTTCTTTCTCTCTGCTTCTTCCTCTCTCTTCCACTCACTCTGCCATTCTGCTTTTCAAATAAATACATACATCTTTTAAAAAGAAAAAGAGGAACAACTATGTGGCAAACAAAGCGACAAAAGTACAGAATGTTGAACGTCGGGAACACACAAAACCACAGACAGACGCACCTGGACCCGCCAGCAGCATGGGCTACCTACCTGCTTGATGGGGTATAGGGAGCCCACCCTCTGCGTGCCACTGTAGGTCAGCCAGTTGGTGATCTCACAGCTGCCCACCAGCCACTGGCGGCCCCGGAAGTCGCTGTGCTCACACAGTACCCAGCTGGATCCAGCAGGTGCCAGAGACGCAGAGAGGGACATGACAGACACACAGACAGATGGCAGAGGGCACCAGGGTCAGCATGGCTTCCACCTGTGCGCTCTGCCCAGCGGTTGGCATCCCAATGGGGAGAGGGAGGCTGGGAAGCAGATTTGCAGCTTGCAGGGCAAAGTGGTGTTCCGAGAGGCCTCACAGGCTGTGTAGACCTCTCCATCTGCACCTCTCCCTCTTTCTAGGCTTGGAGGAGAGCACTGGGCGCCCTGGATCACCATCCCCCACCTTCTCACCAGTCCCGAGATACGCGTCCCCACAAGGCACTCACATGCCACCCCGGATGCGCACGGACAGCACATGGTCGTTGAAGCCCTCGGCCTGCAGGCTCCGCACCTCCCTGTTGAGCTCGATCTCCTTCCCCTCAAAGCACTCCAGGCCGTAGAGCAAGATGGAAGGCTCCGAGAAGTGCTGGGGACAGGGACGAAGCAGGGTGAGGCCAGTGCCAGGCTGATCCTCACTGGTAACTAGTAAATGCCATGCTGGCTTTGAAGGCTCTGAGTTACAGGTGCCTGGGTTGATTCTGAGAAAGACTGGATCCAGCCCTCCAGCCCACTGGGCAGCGGGAAGCAGCCTTACTTCATCCCCTCCCACAACGGGCGGGCCTCACCCAGGTGGCATGGATACTCACCAGGGGCACCTTCCGGAGGGAGCCCAGCACGGTGGAGCTCAGACAGCCCATGGCCGTGAGGGTGGGGAACTCGCCCTCCGAAAGAACATGCTGGTCCCCCTGGAAGTCCTTCTTGTCAAACAGGATCCAGCTGGGAGAGATGGGGGAGAGTTGCTGGACAGGAGTGCCCATGGCAAGCATGCAGCAACCCAGGGCATGACAGCTCATGACCTGACCACACACTGGCCAGAGCCAGGGAGTACAGCAGCTCACCGTCCTCCAGTAGAGGGCTTGGCTGAGCAAATAGAGGAAAAGCAGAGCATGATGCAGGGACATAAAAGGACAAGGGAGAGCTCTTACAGGCTAGGAAGTGTTTCTAGGGGTCAGAGTTTTAACACACACAGGTTAAGCTGCTGCCTATACTAGCATCCCATGTGGACGCCAGTCCTAGTCCTGGCTGCTCCACTTCCTATTCAGCTCCCTGCTCATGCCGTGGGAAAACAGCTGAGGATGGACTAAGTCCTGAGGCACCCATATGGGAGACTCAAATGAAGCTCCAGGCTCCTACCCTGCCTTAGCTATTGCAATTCTCTCTCTCTCTCTCTCTCTCTTTCTCTTTCTAACTCTGACATTCAAATAAATAGATTTTTTTTAAAGAAAGTGATATCTGGGCCTGATACAGTGGCCTAGCAGCTTAAGTCCTCATCTTGCATGCACCAGGATCCCATATTGGTGCCAGTTCTAATCCCAGCAGCCTACTTCCCATCCAGCTCCCTGCTTGTGGCCTGGGAAGGACAAAAAAGGTCCTTCGTCAAGGATGGTCCAAAACCTTGGGACCCTCCAGGCTCCTGGTTTCAGATCACCTTACTTCCAGCCGTTACGGCCACTTGGGGAGTGAATCATCGAACATAAGATCTTCCTCTCTGTATATCTCACTTTTTAATAAAAATAAAAATAAATCTTTTTTAAAAAGTGATGTCTAATAGAAGTGAAGTACAAGGTTTATAGTATGCTTTCTTTTTAATTACTTATTTATTTTTATTGGAAAACCAGATATTCACAGAGAAGGAGACAGAGAAATATTTTTGTCCAACTGGTTCACTGCCCAAATGGCCGCAATGGCTGATGCTAAACTGATTCGAAGCCAGGAGGAGGCAGGAGCTTCTTCTGGGTCTCCCATGAGAATGTAGGGTCCCAAAAGTTTGGTCCATCCTCCACTTTCCTAGGCCACAAGCAGGTAGCTGGGTGGGAAGTGGAGCAGCCAGGGCACTAACTGGTACCCAGATGGGATTCCAGTGGTTGCAAAGTGAGGATTTAGCCAACTTATGACAAAATGTATGTGCCACAAAGTTTACCTTTTCCAAGTATACAACACAGTGGCTTCTATTTTATTTATTTATTTCCCATACTTACAAGGGTTTTTGTTGTTGCTGTTGGTTTTGCTTTGTTTTCAGAGAGAGTGATAGAGAATGAGGGGGAGAAAGAGAGAGAACTTTCATCCCCTGGGTGTGACCCAGGACTGTGACAGCCTGGACTGGATCTAAACCAAGCCAGAACAACACGTGGGTAGCGAGGACCCAGGCACTTGGACCACCACCCGCTGCCCCAGGAGCACTAGCAGAAAACCAGGTTGTCCGGAAGAAGCCCAGGCACCTGGATGACGCGTGTGGTTTGCACCCCACATTGGAGTGCCCGGGGTTCGAGGCCTGACTCCACCCCGATTCCAGCTCCCGGCTGATGTGCATTCTGGGAAAGTAGCACATGACTCAAATCGCTGGGTTCCTGACACCCTCAGAGGAGAGCTGCAGGGGGCTCTGGGCTCCTGGTTCCAGGCCGGCCCAGTAAGGTCTTGGCAACATGTGGGTGAGTGAATCAATAGGTGGGACATCTCTATCTTCCAAATAAATATCGAAATTACTTTAAATACATGCACAGATTCCAAGAAAATGAATTCAACAGAGGCATTTTTGAGATAGTGGGAGAAATTGGAACAGGGAGTCGGTGCATGGTAATTTTAACAAAGTATCATGACTTATGTTAGCTATGGCAATGACTCTAATATATTATTAGAGTCTAATATAGTCTAATATATTCTCCAACGAACAGTTGTTAGGTCAGAGATTTAAATTACTTGTTTAAAAAAAAAAGCAGAAGATACTTCAAAGAAAATTGGGATTCTATTTGGATTTTGAATATGAGAGGCCTTTAAGAAATACGTATTATTTAAACAAGTATTCATGGAAGCTGACACCACGGTGCAACACGCTGAGCCTCTGCGTGTGGTGCCGGCATCACATATGGGCACTAGTTCTCATCTCAGCTGCTCAGCTTCAGATCCGGCTCCCTGCTAATAACCTTGGAAAGGCACCGGAGGAGGGTCCTACTGCCTGGGTCCCTGCCAGCCACATGGGAGATCCTGATGAAGCTCCTGGCTCCTGGTTTTGGCCTGGTCTACCACTGGCCCTTACACCCATCTGAAGAGTGAGCCAGTGAGTGGAAGATAGCTCTCACTATTATCTTTTTCCCCTCTGTCACTCTTTCAAATAAATGAACATATCTTGAAAGAAAAAGAAAGCATGCAAAATATTTCTAAAAGGAAATAAAATAGACAACAGAAAAAAAGTTATTCGTGTGTTTGAAAGTTTTTCTACCACTGCTTCTTGGCCTCTTGGCTGAGTGTGAAAGTTTTTCCACCAAAAGAAACTTATCTCGGGGCCAGCACTGTGGCACTACAGATAAAAGTAATCCCTGGTGTGCCAGTTCAGATCTTGGATGTTCCACTTCTGACAGCTTACTTCTGGCAGCATGGGAAAGCAGTAGAAGTTGGTCCAAATGCTTGGGCCCCCTGCACCCGTAAATGAGACTTGGATGAAATTCCTGCCTTCAGCCCAGACAAGCCTGGGCCATTACAGCCATCTTGGGGACTGAACCAGAAGATGCAAGCTCTCTCTCTCTTTCTCTCTCTCTCTCTGACTTTCACATAAATAAATCTATAAAAACATAATTTTTTTGTTATATTTTCTGTGAACTTTCTTTTGAAATATTGTTATCTTATACCATCTGCCTTTTCCATTTCCCATGAGAAGTGTATTTTGTTTACTTTCAAATTGAGTGACTCAAGACAGAACAGGAAGCCGAAGGCAGGAAATCGTCTGAAATAAAGTCTCAAGCTGAGTCCAGCCCCAGGTAGGTGTGCACATCTCACCCTCCCTCCCCCAGAGCATCCTCACCTGCCGCCATGCACACGGCAGGACTGGGGCTGGAAGGATGCAGGCAGAGAGGTCTGGTCCTCCTCAAAGGAGATGTGGTGGCCCAGAAAGCCAGGGCTGGAGAAGAGCTGGATCTGGTGGTACAGAGCAGAGGGGATGAAGGCGAAGGGAGGCAGTGGGGTGGGAGGCAGGGCAGCCCCTGCGGAGCACCTCCTTACCTTGGAGACAAAGTGCAGGTCGTGCTCTCCCACCTGAGGGGAGAGACCAAAGTTCAGAGACTTAAGGACGGGACCGGGACCTATCCTCGGTCCTCCATGGGTCCTATAGTGTCCAGGTTGCTTTACTTCCAGGAGGCCCAGCCCCTGCACGCACCTGCAGCACCGGCTGGAGAGAGGCGAGGGCACTGTTGCCCGAGCCCCAGTCGTCGCAGTTGCGATACACGCCCTTCTCCAGCACGTACTGCTCCCCGGAGAAGCCCACCGCCTCATAGGCCACCCACCTGCACAGAGCGGGGCACGAGTCAGCCAGGCAGGGGCAATGGGAGCCCCTCCAGGAGCCGTCCCTCCCGGCCCAGGCCCTCCCTGCTGCGCGGACCCAGGTCACTCACACGCCGCTGAGTACGTGGATGGCCTGCGTGCGAGGGCCGTGTCGCTTTAGCTCTACATCTGGCAAGGCGGTGCTCACCTCCACACCGTGCCCCCGGAAATCCATGGCCTCAAACAGCACCACGGCTGGATCCCCGAAGTCCTGGCCCGCAGGGACAGTCAAGTGTCTCCAGGAGTGCCCACACAGTCAGGATGCAGCCCACCCCAGGGATTCAGGGGTGGGGACTGGGGAAGGGTAGGGGTGGAGGTCTGGCAAGGCCTCAGGGAGCGCTTCGTGGGAAGAATGGTACACCTTGCCAAGAGGTGCCGCCTTTCCCGTCCAGACATTGTGCTGAGCGTGGTGGGGTGGGGGTTAGGCTGCCAGAGGGGAAGCAGCCAGAGACGGAGGGATGGTTCAATCGCCCTTGCTTACTGTCCGAATGACCCGCAGGGAGGTCAGCTGCTCATCATAGCCTCCCCAGTGTGACCAGTCGGCGTACTCTCCCTCTTCCAGCAGATACTGGTGGCCCCTGAAGCCCTCCTTCTCGTAGCCCACCCAGCTGGGGGAAGAGGGAGGGTGGACAGACAACACTCAGTGGCAGGAAGCCCAGGACGGGTCAGACAGCTGACCTCCCCAGGCAGCTTGGGGTGTCTTCCCATCCCTTAGGGCACGGGACAGTGGGGGCAAAGAGATAGAAGGGGCGTTCCGAGTCCCTCACCAGCCCCCAAGGATGCGCAGGGATCCCACAGAGGCCAGCTGGGGGCTTTGGTCATCCTCTGGCTGCTGAAGGTTGTAGATGTCTCTGCTCACTTCCCAGCTCCGGCCGTGAAATCCCGGGGCTTCGTACACCACGGCCTGGGGGGAAGGAGGGAGGGGTCGTGTGGATGGGCCTCATATGGCACAGCTGGCAGGGGGACTGGGGTCAGGTGGTGGGCCTCATATGGCACAGCTGGTGGGGGCACTGGGGTCAGGTGGTGGGCCTCATATGGCACAGCTGGCGGGGGCACTGGGGTCAGGTGGTGGGCCTCATCAGGAGCCAGGCACACGCTGCCAGCCCACTATCTGTCCTGCTCAGCTTCCTGAGCTCTGAGTGCCCAGACGCCATCCCTTCTTTGTTTGTTTTGTTTTGTTTCGTTCACACACACCATCCCTTACCCGATACCCGTCTCTGACCTCTAGCCCGGTCCACAGACAACAGGTGCTGATTCCCACTGAGCCCACCAGCTTCTGGCCTCCCACATCCGGTTTTGGCCTCCACCTGCCTTCTCTCTGGTCTCTCAGTCCCAACCAGAACAGCCACCCCTCCACTCTCACCCTTGCCTCCCCCCTCCCCGCCCTCCTTGACCCTGAAGCCCACATCCTCCCTTACCTTGGGCTCCTCCGGCCTCTCCACGCTTGGGCAGCCCTGCAGAGGAGACAGCTGCTGGCAGATCTGGGGTTTTCTCCATGCTGACACTCCACAAGAGCTGACTTCACGTGCTCTCCCCCGACCCCACCCCTCCTTCTCCTCCAGTCCCATCCCTAGTCTTCCCTCCTCTCCTTCCCCTGGGCCTTTGCGGGGTACCAGAGGCAGAGCTCACACCCTCGGGCCCGTGGCTGTGCCCAGCTCTTACCAGTCGTACAGGCTTCAGTGAGCCCACGCCTGGGTCAGATGCACCCCAGGCCTCCAAAGTGGGGTACTCGCCGGGCTCCAGGACATAAGGGGTCTCTTCAAAAAAAGGCTTGGGGTACAGCAGCCACCTAGGGGAATGCAATGAGGTCACTGTATCCCAGGCCCTAAGAGACAGCGCTTGGAGGGCAGGAAGAAAGGACTGGAGGGGAGGAGGAGATTTGGAGAGGAGACCCCCAACCTGGGGTCCTGGGGGGATCTCTTTTAGTAACCATCTCATGTGCACCTCTGTCCCTCTGGCCTGGCCTTTTTCTGTTCTACACAGCAGCTAGAAGAGCCCTCCAATACATATATCTACTCAAAAACCCCAGTAGTCGGGGGAGGGAAGAGGGGACAGCAGGCTGAGCTGCCACCTGGGACACTTGTAGCCCACAATCAGAACGCTGATCCAAGTCCTGAGCACGCAGCTTCCTGCTGGTGCACATCCTGGGAGGCACAGATGATGGTTCAAGAACTTGGGTCCCTGCCACCCACATGGGAGACCTCGATTGTGCTTCTCCAGCCTGGTGCAGCCCTGGCTCTATCAGGCATTTGCGGAGTGAACCAGCAAGTGGAAGCTCTCCCTCTGGCTCCGTGGTTCTGTCTTACACAGATACATACATAAAACACAGTAATTCCCTGTTGAGCTCACACTACAGTCTGACCATACAAGGAGACCTTGTGATTCGGCCCCTTCCATCGGGGTCTCCCACCTCTCCACTGGCCAGACTGGACCTTTAAAGTGGACTAGTGTGATGGCTCAATGGCTAACTCCTCGCCTTGCAGGTGCTGGGATACCATATGGGCACCACTTCATGTCCCATCTGCTCCACTTTCCATCCAGTTCCCTGCTTGTGGCCTGAGAAAGTTGAGGAGGACAGCTCAAAGTCTTGGGACCTTGTACTCCTGTGGGAGACCCAGAAGAAACTCCTGGCTCCTGGCTTTGGATATGGCCCTTTGGGGAGTAAACCAGCAGATGGAAGCATTTTCTCTCGCCTTCTCTCTGTAAATCTGCATTTCTAATAAGAATAAACATATTTTTTAAAGTGTATCTGCCTCAATTCTGTTTCTTACTCTTCTCCCCATTCATTAAAGAAACAAATATGTAGCGGTATCACAGATGGGCCAGGCTCCATATTTGAGCACCAGGATACAATAGGAGACACGCGGCCCTCCTAGAGTGGATTCTTGGCCCACTCCGCCAGGCTCAGTGGCCTCTACACCTAGGAGTCTTCTATGACATCTCCGTCCATCCCCCAACTCTGGGACTTTGCCTTCTCCTTGCCTGTCCCCATCGGTACCGTATCCAGAGCCCACTTGGAGGTGGGCAGTGTGCCCTGCCACCTGTCCCCAGCTCCCAGCACAGTGAATGGTAAATGAAGGGAATCCAGCATGGCCTCACTCACAGTCCTGCGGAGACAATAGCAGATGCCACCTGCAGGGGCTGCTCCATGCCCTCGGGGTCCTTCAGGGCCTCCGTTAGCTTCACTTGCTCCCCCTTGAAGCCCTCCTCAGAGAAGAGGTTGATCTCTGGGGTGCGGTAATCCTGTGGAAGGAGGGGACAGAAATCTATATCAGCCCCTTGCCTGCTCCCCGTGTCAGTCTGGCCAGGGGCGTCTGGAAAACATTTGTGATTGTCTCCCCATAAACCAAGGGGTGACTAGAGTGCTCCCTACTAGCTCAGCCAGGCAAGCCCGAAACTGCAGTGCTTGCTGGTCCCTTGCTGGGCCGAGGAGACCTGAGGCCACAGTTCCCAAGAGAACCTGCCAGGCAGCGGCAGGCCGTTCCCTGCCTTTTGGTAGCACGCCTTCTAGACTGTTGGAGGACTGGGCAAGGTGGACACTTGCTGCCCGAGGTCCCGCATTGACCCTCCATTTAGGTTGACCCTCTGTCCAATCAGCAGATCCTCTCTGCCCTCTAGGGGTTCTGGGGCCATTTTCACTTCTTCATCACATGTTTAGGAAGTGTTACTGAGTAGAAGGCACTGCGTCAAGGTCATGTCCTATCCTTTCTCATTTCGTTTTCCAAGTCCATTCACAGGCAAGGGAGGCTCAGCCCGGGGGAGGATCAGCAACCTGCCCAGGGCCAAGAACAGAGCTGGGTAAATATGTTCACTGCTGCAACCCAGCCCTCCCATCTGCCTGGCACACAGGAGGTACCCCATGGGCACGGAGTCCAATGAACCCAGGACCAGCCGACTTCAAAGCCTTTGTTTTGCTCTTGTATCTCATCACCTCCCACATGCAGTTGAATTTACTGGGAAAAGCTCATACTAAATTGCTCAAGCATGTCTCTGAATTTGAGTACACTGATCCCTCGCCTGGGCTCTTGTCCTAGGGAAGGCTCGGCAACTCACACCTGCAACTGCTCTGGGCTCAGTTAGCTGTGCTTTCATGGAAACAGAACGCATGAGCTAGCAGCTAAGACATCCACATCGCACGTCAGTGGGCCCAGGTTCGACTCCCGTCTCTGGCTGACTCCAGCTTCCTGCCACTGAGGACCCTGGGAGGCATGTTGCTGGCTCAGGTAGTGGGGTTCCTGCCACTTGTGTGGGAGATGAAGATGGAGTTTCTAGCTCCTGGCTTCAGCCAGTCCCAGCTGTGGTAGGCATTTGGAAAGCGAACCAGCAAATAAAAGTTTTGTCTGATCTCTTTCAACACCTTTCAGATAAATAGATAAACCAAGCAAAATGTTCCCAAACAAGCAAAAACACCTTCAGTGTCACCTAGCCCTTTCTTTGGGATCACCCTAGTGCCCGGCTAGCTTTGCTGCATTTAATTTTCATAGCTTAGGAATGTGTCCTGTGAACAGAGTACTCTGACTTTACAAATAGGAAATGACAATGTTGACTTTTCACACCACAGGCCCCTCCCTCAGACGTGCCCCTGGGCTGCCAGTCCTGTCCCTCCCTTGTTCCCAGGCCCTTTCTCCTTCCGGCAGCCAGCGGGATGCTTGTAAATCCCCAATCTGGTTATATGACTTTCTGCTTCAAACCAGCCCTTACTCGAGCTGACTGTACATCCTGCAGGGCCCGCCCACCCAGCACCTGGCACAGTGCCTGGCGTGCAATAGACATTCCTGAGCATCTGGCACCAAATGCCTGAAGTGCCCGTGTCTCTGGGGTCTGCCTCCTGTCATCTCTCTCTATCTCGGAGGGCATGTTCACTCTCAGGGTTGGGGTTCAAGGGGGGCCAGGGCGACCCCCAGCCACTCACTCCAGCCCACTTACCTGGACTACCCTCCTTAGGGAGCCAATGCTATGGGTGCTCCATGCTGGCTCCGGCACCCTGAGCTCCATGTCACCTTCAGGTAGGACCAGCTTTCGACCCCGGAACTCCGGCTCTTCGTATAGCACCCAGCTGCAGGCACAGAGACCCCAGAGTCACAGGGGTTGGCTGTATCTGGGGTCTCCAGTGAGCTGGTATGGTCACTGCCAGGCTGGTCCAGCTGCACCCTGCTGCCCTCTGCACAGCCAGGGCCCCCACTGGGCGCTCCTCACTCACCAGCCTCGAATCACCCTGATGGAGGCCACAGGGGCCCAGCCGGAAGCGTCAGCAATGTCTTCCCAAACCTCCCTGCTGTCACCTTGGCAGCTGGGCTCGGAGAAGAGAATCACCTGAGAAGGCACAGCCACCGGAGGCTTCAGAGCCCATCCCCAGGCCCTCCACCACCACCCCTGCCCACTTACCCCATGCCCCTACCTTCCCAGGCCTAGTGTTCAGCTTGCCCTGGGTCTTCAGCGCTGGACTCTAGAACAAAGGAACCACAGAAGCCTTATGGGGGTCGCCTCCTTACAGTCCCCCTGCAATCTGCTATTCCAGAAATCCTGGCCCTCCCTGCTGGCCTTTACTGCCAAGGAACTGGGTGCCCAGCAGCCCCATCTGTAGCTTCTGGGGTGCCCACTGGCACCCATACTTCATACTTCTGACTACATGGACAGAGAGAGCAACCAAACCAGACTTAAGACCACGTCCTCCTGCCTCTAGAGACCCTTGATTCCCTCTCACCTCCCAACCCCAAGCCCATGGAGCCCCTACTGCCTGCCTAGTTGCCCATCGGAGGCATTACTCACCCACCCCTCCGGGTCCTGGGTAGGTGAGGTCTTCTCTGCCGACAGACTTTCACTGCAGAGCAGAGGTAACTGTCCCGGCACCTTCCTGACCCCTGGTGCCCCATGGGGTGGCAGAGCGGATAGTTTGGTGCCTAGCGGTTCTGGGGTCGTGGTCTCCTTGGCAGCGGGCATCAGATTGCCAAAGAGAAGGCTGCCGCCAAGCCGGGAGGTACGCCTGCTGCTGGCCTGAGCTTCCGGCCCCAGCTCAGGCTGGGGGCCCTTGGCACCTGCTACATGCTTTTTCATCATCTCCAGAGGCGAACAGGAGCCCTGGCTGGGCCTGGAGGGTCGCAGGTCCCATGAAGGTCCGGGCTTGGCTTTTTCCTGTTTGAGTTGCAGCTTCTCGTCATCACTCAGGTAGGGGTTCTCTGGCTCCTCCTCCTCCTCTTTCGCTTCCTCTTGCTGGTCCTTCTCCTCCAGCACCGGCACCTGCTGTGGACTGGGGGTCAGCACCCAAGGCCCAGGCTGGTCCTCTTCGATGGCAGGGAGCGTGGCATACATGGCTAGGTAGGAGGCGCGGGGGGCTCGGGGCAGCCGGTGGGTGCGGAGGATCTCGGGGGGCTCCATGCTCCGCAAGGTGTCCAGGAAAATCTCCAGGTCTGCGGCCAAGGCCAACTCCTCCTCCTCCCTCGACGGCTCCAGCGGTGGCTTGCCGTCGATAGAATCGGGGACAGGCTGGGATTCCACACTGACCTCTGCTTCCACTGGCACTGGACCAGGGGTGTCACCTGGGCTGGGGGTCACTTTGTCCACAGAGGAAGATGGGGCAAGGGGAGCAGCAGGGTCTTGCACAGCTTCTGTGTGGGTGGGAAGTGGTGCCGCTGAAACACCGGAGTCCTGGACAACCTCTTTTGCTGTGGGAGATGGGAGGGGGCCCCCTTCAGAGCCCGGGCCAGCCTTATCCTGCTGGGGACAAGGAGCAGCAGGGACAGCTGGGTCCACTTCAGTCTCTACCTTGGTGAGGGAGGAGGCAGGGCTGTCTGCAACATCCTGCACACTCTCCTCCTGCCCGCTGGGACCCCCGGCCGTCTTGCTGGGTTTGGGGGATGAGGTGGCAGAAACATCCTGTAGCATCTCTTTCTGGCTGGGGACTGGGTCAGCAGGAGTCCCAGAACCCTGAGCCACCTGTTGCTCCAGAGGGAGGGTGAGGCTGGGGACCTCTGTGGCGTCCTGGGACTCCGGAGGGAGGGAGGGGCTGGGGACCTCTGTGGCGTCCTGGGACTCCGGAGGGAGGGAGGGGCTGGGGACCTCTGGGGCATCCTGGGATCCCCGAGGGAGGGAGGGGCTGGGGACCTCTGGGGCATCCTGGGATCCCCGAGGGAGGGAGGGGCTGGGGACCTCTGGAGCATCCTGGGACCCCCGAGGGAGGGAGGGGCTGGGGACCTCTGGAGCATCCTGGGACCCCCGAGGGAGGGAGGGGCTGGGGACCTCTGGGGCATCCTGGGATCCCCGAGGGAGGGAGGGGCTGGGGACCTCTGGGGTGTCCTGGGACTCCGGAGGGAGGGAGGGGCTGGGGACCTCTGGAGCATCCTGGGACCCCCGAGGGAGGGAGGGGCTGGGGACCTCTGGGGCGTCCTGGGACTCCCGAGGGAGAGAGGGGCTGGGGACCTCTGGAGCATCCTGGGACCCCCGAGGGAGGGAGGGGCTGGGGACCTCTGGGGCGTCCTGGGACCCCCGAGGGAGGGAGGGGCTGGGGACCTCTGGGGCGTCCGGGACAACTGGGGAAGATGGAGAAGGACATGCTGGACTGGGCACAGCCTTGCTTCCTGCCAAGGACGAGGCAAGATGTTTTCCAGGGATAATGATGACCTCACTCCTCACTGTGGGTGGGACAGTGGCCACAGGGGCATCGGTGGACACTTCTGTGTTCATAGGTGGCAAAGCATGGGGAGAGGGCTGGACCCCAGGCTGAGTGGGCACCACAGGCTGCTCTGGAGAGTGAACCAGGCTCACAGAGGGGCTTTGGGTTTGAAGCCTGGGAGAGGAGGGAACTGGGATGTGGCCAGAAGCTTGCACAGGGAGCTGAGTCGGCCTGGAGGTTCCCAGCACCGTGGGACACTCACGGGCCTCGGCATCCGGGGCTCTGCCCTGCTCTGGTCCCAGTTGGACTATCGGCACGTCCTGGTTGTGTGGAGAGGGTGCAGTTGCTGGGCTGCCTGTCCTCCCTGTGCCACCCAGGCCTGGGCTCCTGGGTGCGGCAGCTGTAGGTCTGGGGAGGCGGCTGGCAGGCATCAGGGTATTGAGCAGCTCCAGGGCCTGGCTGCGGCTAGGGCCACCCTCTGGCGTGGGATTTACCACCACTGTGCGGAAAGCGCGGGCCACATGGCGGCCCCTCTGCAGAGTCTCGGCAGACAGCGAGGGCCCCACGGTCACAGTGCTGCTCACCCGGCGGTCCACGGAGCCTCCCACCACCGTGGTGGCCCGCACCGTGCGCATCACCCGTAGGTTCCGGGAGCTCCCATTGGAGAGGCCGCCCGTGGGGTGGGGACTGGGCTCCCGGGGCCCAGGCAGGGGCACCAAGAGTTCCACATTCCTAGCTGTGGTCCCCAAGCTTGAGGACTCAGACCTGGAAGTCGGGGGGCTGCTGTCACTATGGTCCGCAGCCTCCTGCGGCCGCCCACTTGGCCTTTTCTCCTTGGGGGGCGGTATGTACTTCCTGGAAAAGATGGGCCCATGGCTCTGGAAGTTTCTGGAGCCGACTGCTTCCCGTGGGCCCGGCTCACTTGAGCTTTCCTCCTCCCGGGTAGCAAAGCCGTTCACTTCTTCCCGATGGTGGTTATATGCCAACAGCTCCTCCTGGGGCGCGTTCCTGCTGGCCCCGGACACCAGAGACACCTTGTGGAAACGATGTCTGCTCTCTTCTGGGGCAGGGGACCGCTGCCACCAGGTCAAGGTGGCACTGACCACTCGGGTTTCAGTCCGGGCTGGGGGCCCCCCTGCCTCCTCCATGTTAGGCCCCGGCACGCTGTCCTGAGGTGTCCTCGTCTTGCTGTAGTCCAGCTCCCTGCTGTGGGTGCCAACAAGAAGACAGAAGTCAGGGATGGAAAAACTATCCCTGTCCTGCCGTGCTGTGAGGCCAGATGGCCTCAACTGCTTCATCTGTGAAATGGGTATATTTCAGTTTCGACTTGACTCATTGGAGAGCACCAGCCTTCCCCAACATGCTCCCTGCTCTGAAGCCAAGGCCCGAGCCTTGGCTTGGAAGGAAAAAGAAGGGAGAGAGTGGACAGGGAGTCCTAGGACTCTGACCGAGGAGCCCTGAGTCAAGTTGTCCAAGAGCTCCGAACTGGGCAGGTATCATTCCCTGTTCCCTGTCACACACAGGCTCCTTGAAAGGGAATTTAAGGAACCCTGGGCTTTGGCCTCCCACACAGCTGGGCTCCCTCTGAACCTGCCATCCATCTGCTGGGTGACCTTAGTAGGATAGCTGTCCCATTTCAGTGTCAGGGTCCCCAGCCACAAAACTGGAGCCCTATGACCCTGTGCTTGCAGGGTCTCTGGAAAGAGAAAAGGATGGATATTGACTTTATCAACTAAGATGCCAGCTCAAAAGCTCCCTGGTGGGCCTGGTGTGGTAGCCTAGCAGCTAAAGTCCTCACTTTGCATGCTCCAAGGTCTCACATGGGTGCCGGTTTGTGTCCCATCAGCCCCACTTCCCATCCAGCTCCCTGCATGTGACCTAGGAAAGCAGTGGAGGACAGCCCAAAACCTTGGGGCCCTGCACCCGCTTGGGAAACCCAGAAGAAGTTTCTGGCTTCAGATTGGTGCAGCACTGGCCGTTGTGGCCACTTGGGGAGTGAATCAATGGATGGAAGATCTTCCTCTCTGTATATCTGACTTTCCAATAAAAATAAAATCAACCTTAAAAAAAAAATTTATCCTACTGCCTCAAGGGACACTGAGCGTGTGCTGGCAGGAGCAACGTAGCGTGCTAGGGTCAGAGGGCGTGTCCCAGACGAGCCCCCCTTGGCACTCTGGCCTTTCAGAGTGTCCCCTTCCTCAGTTTCCTCCTTGGCCATCAAACAGATGAGGAAACAGGGGCAGGGAGGGGGTTGACAGGTACTAGGCTGCCAGGCTAAAGTGAGTTCACATCTCTGGGATCCATGGCCTGGCATCTCCCGCCCCGAGGCTGGGGCACAGCCGGCCGCTCCCCAGCCCAGTTCAGTACCGCTCAGCTCAGCCTCCCGGCTTGCAGGGTGGGGCCTCCATTATTTTTTCTGTGACCCTCCCTTGGTCTCACCTTTGCTAAGCTGAGGGCCAACAACCCCTGTCTAAGACCGCTCAAGCCTCCGTTTCCATAGTAACCACAACAACAGACCTTGGCTCAGGGGCTCACCCTGCCCCAGACACCTTGCGAAACGCTTTTGCATTCATTGTCCTGCGTGACCTTGGGGTGACGCCTCGAAAGAGTCCCTTGAATTTCAGACCTCATAAAGAATGAATGATGAAGAACTTGCCAACAAACATTCCCATTTTGTAGACCAGGTTTGTTTACTAAGAATCAGAGAGGTTAAGAGATTTGCCCAGAGTCACACAGCACAGAGTGCTGACTCGAACTCCAAGTACTTCACCACTAGAGCAAGCTCACCCAGGGGCACTGGCTGGGGTTCCCACCTCCTAGGGGGGCTGCTGGTGCCAACCCCCCAACTCCCAAGCTGCACTGACCGCTGTGCTGTCAGGTCAGCCTGTTCTCCCGGCTCAGGGTCAGCCAGCCTGCAGGCTGCGTCCCTCTCCCATCAGGCAGCTCCCATAGACGCCAGCTGAGCCAGCTCGGCCCCCACTGCCGTGCCTCCCCTCCCCCGCTTTCCTCCTTCTCTGGGAGAAGCTGGTGGAAACCAGGACTTTGACCTGCCCTGTGGCCCCAGCTGTGACTCAGATTTTATGAGGGGCAGAGATGAAAGGGGCTGAGGCCCAGAGAAGCTTGTCCCGACTCCAGAGCAACTGGTGGCTGTGAAAGCACCGGGGCCAGGTCTTGGGAGCTCCATCCCCTTACTGAGCCAAGCCTGCTTCAAAATCATTCATTCATGCACTCATTTATTCATCCAGTGCTACTTGTGTCAGGTGATACACTAACTAATCCCCAGTTAGGCTCATCCAAAGCCAACTTTCTCACAAAGTTCGTACCCCAGGAGTCCAGAGGTCAAGGATGCAGACATAAAACTAGGAAAGGCACTTGGAAGGCCCCGATCATGCAACAGAAGCTGCCACTGGTAACCAGACCAGATGCCGTGGATGCCCTCAGAGCCATCTGAAAAATCAATGCCTTTTCTCAACCCAGCCCAACCCCTGGACAACACCCCTGCCAGTCACCCATTCCACAAGCATGTGGTCACTGGCTTCGGCTTGCATACCTCTAGGGACAGGGAGGTCACCACCTGACGTTTGATCTGCCCCATTCCTGGACAGTCAAGACTGCTAAAATAGTCAACCCACGCTGGTGTCTGCTTCCCATTGGCTACCCCGTTTGTCCTTGCTCCGGAGATAGACCCCCTCAAGGACCTAGCTGGCTCCTGGGCCAGCAGAAGGGCCCACACCAGCAGGCTTCTCTTCTCTGGGCCCTCTCATCCCCAGTGGATTTGCTAGCACAGTAACCTGTAACCTCTAAATGAGGCGTGGGGCTGAGCAGGGAGAGGCTGGGGAGGGGATGGGGGAGTGTGGGAAAGAGTCTTGTCTAACCCAACAAGTCCTGGATTCTCCCCGCTTAGCTGTGAGTCACCCCTAAACTAGGCCAAACCAGTCCACAGGCCCACAGCCTGCGTCACACAGGCACCGACCCACACAGAACCGAAGTCACGCAGACACGGAAACACACAGACACACGAGCCGACACACACGCACAGAAACACGCAGCCGAGGACACACACACATCTTGCAGCCGCAGGCTCCCCCTTCCCAGGGCACTGACCCACACCTGAACTTGGGCACGTGTGCCTAGACACACACCTGGCTCACACATCTGCACCAGCAGCCCCAGGGTGACCCACCTCCTTCCTATAATCGCCAGGCCTGGCCCAGAGGGGATGCAGGAGGATGGTGTGTGTGGGGGGGGGGACCTCCCTCCTACTGTTGTAAGCCAGCACTTCCTGATCCCCGCCCGAGGCTGTCATTAACCACCTGGACCCAAAATAGCCACGAGGAGCCAGGACCAAGCCTAGGACCCCCTCAGCTAACCACGTGTCTCACCCCGGCTCCAGGCCTGCCTCTCGCCAGTGCTTTTCCCAGGCTTGGGGCACTCCTGCCAGTCCCTGGGCCAGCCCAGGCTCTGGCCCAGAGGATGTCATTGGTACCTCTGCCTTTGCGGTCAAGTCCACCTCCCTCAGGCTTGCTGGAAAGCCCAAGTCCCCAGAGCAAGCAGGATGCAGGAGTCAGATGGGCAGAACTTAGGCTCCGGGGTGATCGAACCTAGAGCCAAATTCCATCCTTTTACACTCTGGGTGATTTTTTTTTTTTAACAAATCCTGGGACATTTCTGAGTCTTAGCTTCTTTACTATCATTAGATGAGAAAGGGGTGGGATGGAGTTCCCACTCCATGGAGCTGTTGTAAGGATTACACGATGCTTGAAAGGGCTGGCACTGTGGTACAGCAGGTGAAGCTACCATCTGTAATGCCACAATTCCATGTGGGTGCCAGTTTGAGTCCCACCTGCTCCACTTCCAATCTAGACACCCCTACCCCACCTCCTGTCTAATGCACCTGCCAGCAGCCAATGCTTGGGCCCCTGCTATCCCGTAGGAGACTCTGATGGAGTTCTGGGCTCTTGGTTTTGGCCTGACCTTAACTCCGTTAATTGGAGCCATTTGGGGAGTGAACCAGCAGATAAAAGATCTCTGTCTCACTTCATATCTGTCTCTGTAAATCTTTCAAATAAACAAATAATTATTTTTTAAATGACATTTGGAAACAGACTGCTGGTAGTCACCGCCTGTCATCGTTGGCTCTTCACAGACCCCTTCCTGGAGTCCTGTTTTTGGGAAACCCACCATCCGTCCACCTCTGAGCCCATCGGGCAGACTCAGGCAGATCAACGTCAACACAAAGCCCCCGCCTGGAATGTGGAGCCTGTTCCCTGGGCCGCCAGCACACAGCCGGGTCAGTAATTACCCCTGGCACCGGGGCATAATTAATAGGCATCCCTGCTATGTTGGCAGCCAGCTCTCAGGAGTTCAAAGCATGCGTCTGCAACCAACTCTTCCTTCCTCGTCCCCAAACAGACAGCAGTCCACAGCCCAGAGAGGTTAAGCAACTTGCCTCAGGAGTCCCAGCACTTGGCTGGGTGTCTGTTCCCAGGCTGGTTCCACCACTCCCTAAATGTAACTGGTGAGTGGCGAGGGAGGCTGAGAAGGTGACCCCTTCCCACCCTCTATCCACAACAGTATGTGGTCCTTTCCGGTAGGCAGCAGCCAAGCAGGTCTGTGTGTGAGGGACAGAAAGGAAGGCAGAGCTGGAGCAGGCGTGAAGTGGAAAAGTGGCAGGGTAGGCTCTTGCCCTAAGGACAAGACGAGAGGACAGCCAGGACAGCCTGCCTCCCTGTCATCACCCCCCATGGGCACCAGTCCCTACTCACCGTCCGTGTGGGGACTCAGGTGTTGGGACGACCGGGAGCTCGTGCCGCTGGGCCTTGTTCCCCTGATGAGGTCCGGCTCTCACCCCTGGCCGCCAGGGCGGATCGGTCGGGCACCCCGTGATGGGGCGGGGCCCCTGGGGAGGCTCCTGCCAGCCCCTGGATTCCTCAGGGCCACAGGGGTGGGGAGCTGGTTGGGCCGGTTCCTCCCCCGCCTCCCCAGGTGCCTGCTCACACCCCTGCAAGGTGATGGTGATGCGGTAGCGGGTCCTCCTGGCAGAGGTTCGGGTGCATGGGGCCTGGGCCGGCCCTGCAGGGGCTGGCCCCGCGGGGCTGGGATCGCCCTTTGCCCCTACTGCCCCAGGGAAGGACATTGGGCGGGGCAG